GCGACCCTTTTAATAAGAATTACAGAAGTTCGGAAAATGCGAGTTTGACCAACCTCGGAGGATTAATCCGCAATTATTTTGGTCTCAACTTTGAAATTTAAAATACAGAAGTATGCCAGCCAAGTCAGTGAAGTTTTGTAAACTTTGCAAGCAAGGCAGCATTGAAGGAGCTTTGATCAAACAGATATAATACATGCAGCATAAATAATAATGCAGTAACAAAAAATTAAGCAATCAAATTTGCCAGCTTAATTGCGATAAAAAATTGTTAAAATAACACAAACACTGGTTGAGTAAATTTTTAGAGGAAAGAAAAAATTTATAAAATGCACATGAGATATTCCTTGGACTAAGAACGCTCTTAGTTTTTGGTATCAGCACTGACTGAAAAAAAAACGCTGTTTTAAAATCAGTAAAAGTAGGTTTCGATGTTTTTGACAATAATTAATATTCTTTTTGAAACAAAAACAAGACTGCTCGTATCAGGGCGACGCCCTGAATGTTCCGACTGCCTTTTAAGGTTTATGGAGCAGTAACAACTTAAAAAAGTAAATGAAATAAAACCAAATGAAAAATTTTTTTTCTAAAAATTGAAGTTTTTTATGAAAATCATCCCCCCAAACGGCATATATAGTACAAAAGGATACATTTCACTCCTTGTAACAAACCAATTATGGCAAATAGGCTTCTTTTAACCAATTTGGAACGATTTCTAAGATGGATTAACTCTCCGCTTACGCGTTAATAACGCGAAATATATCGCGCGTTAATTGTCCCAAATTGGTCAAAATGGTCAAAAATGGCAATCTTTAAACCCTCATAACTTTACGAAAAATGATCACAGGTGAAGTATCTTTTCAAATTTGAGCTCAGGACAACAATACCTTTCGAATGATACAAAAAAAAAGTCCGTCGAAAATGGCTAGTTAAAAAGTCGAAATTTGTCTGAAGAAAAAAAAACCCACCCGAGCACAAATATTCCGTTACTTTCGTATCGAAAGTCGGAACAATTATCCATGTATTCTAGCTATCTTAGATATCTCGCACAATCTTGCATTTTAGCTTTTGCCAGAATTGTTGTTTCGAAAAGAAGTCTATGTCTGCTCAAAGGAAAGATTGTGTTTTGCAATTTTTATTTTCAAACTTCAAAACTTTAAAGTTTCAGTTTGTGCAATGTGTTAAGGAGCGGATTAAGCCGAGGAAAACTTTTCTTTTGGAAGATGATCCAAGTGCAAAAAAACCAAAAGATTTTGCTCCTTGTAACAAATCAATTATGGCAAATAAGCTTCTTTCAACCAATAAGGAACGATTTCTAAGATGGATTAACTCTCCGCTTACGCGTTAATAACGCGAAATATATCGCGCGTTAATTGTCCCAAATTGGTCAAAATGGCCAAAATGGCAATCTTTAAACCCTCATAACTTTACGAAAAATGATCACAGGTGAAATATCTTTTCAAATTTGAGCTCAGGACAACAATACCTTTCGAATGATACAAAAAAAGTCCGTCAAAAATGGCTAGTTAAAAAGTCGAAATTTGTCTGAAGAAAAAAAAAACCCACCCGAGCACAAATATTCCGTTACTTTCGTATCGAAAGTCGGAACAATTATCCATGTATTCTAGCTATCTTAGATATCTCGCACAATCTTGCATTTTAGCTTTTGCCAGAATTGTTGTTTCGAAAAGAAGTCTATGTCTGCTCAAAGGAAAGATTGTGTTTTGCAATTTTTATTTTCAAACTTCAAAACTTTAAAGTTTCAGTTTGTGCAATATGTTAAGGAGCGGATTAAGCCGAGGAAATATTTTCTTTTGGAAGATGATCCAAGTGCAAAAAAAACAAAAGATTTTGCTCCTTGTAACAAATCAATTATGGCAAATAAGCTTCTTTCAACCAATAAGGAACGATTTTTAAGACGGATTAAATCTCCGCTTACGCGTTAATAGCGCGAAATATATCGCGCGTTAATTGGCCCCAATTGGCCAAAATGGCAATCTTTAAACCCCCGTAACTTCACGAAAAATGATCACAAGTGAAATATTTTTTCAAATTTCAGCTCAAGACAACAATACCTTTCGAATGATACAACAAAAGTCCGTCAAAAATGGCTAGTTAAAAATTCGAAATTTGTCTGAAGAAAAAAAAACCCACCCGAGCACAAATATTTCGTTACTTTCGTATCGAAAGTCGGAACAATTATCCATGTATTCTAGCTATCTTAGATATCTCGCACAATCTTGCATTTTAGCTTTTGCCAGAATTGTTGTTTCGAAAAGAAGTCTATGTCTGCTCAAAGGAAAGATTGTGTTTTGCAATTTTTATTTTCAAACTTCAAAACTTTAAAGTTTCAGTTTGTGCAATGTGTTAAGGAGCGGATTAAGCCGAGGAAATATTTTCTTTTGGAAGATGATCCAAGTGCAAAAAAACAAAAGATTTTGCTCCTTGTAACAAATCAATTATGGCAAATAAGCTTCTTTCAACCAATAAGGAACGATTTTTAAGACGGATTAAATCTCCGCTTACGCGTTAATAGCGCGAAATATATCGCGCGTTAATTGGCCCCAATTGGCCAAAATGGCAATCTTTAAACCCCCGTAACTTCACGAAAAATGATCACAAGTGAAATATTTTTTCAAATTTCAGCTCAAGACAACAATACCTTTCGAATGATACAACAAAAGTCCGTCAAAAATGGCTAGTTAAAAAGTCGAAATTTGTCTGAAGAAAAAAAAACTCACCCCGAGCACAAATATTCCGTTACTTTCGTATCGAAAGTCGGAACAATTATCCATGTATTCTAGCTATCTTAGATATCTCGCACAATCTTGCATTTTAGCTTTTGCCAGAATTGTTGTTTCGAAAAGAAGTCTATGTCTGCTCAAAGGAAAGATTGTGTTTTGCAATTTTTATTTTCAAACTTCAAAACTTTAAAGTTTCAGTTTGTGCAATGTGTTAAGGAGCGGATTAAGCCGAGGAAAACTTTTCTTTTGGAAGATGATCCAAGTGCAAAAAACAAAAGATTTTGCTCCTTGTAACAAATCAATTATGGCAAATAAGCTTCTTTCAACCAATAAGGAACGATTTCTAAGACTGATTAAATCTCCGCTTACGCGTTAATAGCGCGAAATAAATCGCGCGTTAATTGTCCCAAATTGGCCAAAATGGCAATCTTTAAACCCTCATAACTTTACAATAAATGATCACAGGTGAAATATCTTTTCAAAATGAAGCTCAGGACAACAATACTTTTTGAATGATATAAAAAAATTCCGTCAAAAATGGCTAGTTAAAATGTCGAAATTTGTCTGAAGAAAAAAAACCCACCCCGAGCACAAATATTCCGTTACTTTCGTATCGAAAGTCGGAACAATAAGCTACAAAAACGCACCGGGGAAAAACTATGAGCTGTTTCTAGCAGGACTTAAACCACGAGAGAAACACTTTTTTATGAAAGCTATCTTCAAGCATAAGAATCTTCAAAAGCGTAGTAAAAACCTGAATGGTGTTTTGATTGGACAACACAGAAAAGTATTGGACAACCATTGTAGAAACAAGTAAATCTGCAGTACACAAATCCACAGCAGCTAACGGTAAGAGAAAAAGAACAAATTTTGCAACTTAGAAAAAATAGATTTTGCAAGCTATGTAGACAAAATGCCAGGGATGTCTTAAGTAGAAGAGTTTGAAAAAACTTGTGCAACAAACCAGCATAAACATAAAAGTTTTCAAGACGAGTTACCTAACTCCACTACGGCAGCAAATGAAAAAAAAATGTTCAAAAAATGATCACTCAAATTTTGATTGCTGTTTCAAAACCAAGGAGCAACATTTTTTAGCATGCAAAAACACTATCTACAAAAATGAAGAAAAAAAATAAGTTAAAATTTTTAGGCTTGTATACCTTGTGCTCTGTTTCATACTAAAACTTAGTCAGTTGAGATGCAAACACTCCTAAAATATCCCAAAACTTCCTCAATCTCGAGAAAAATTGGTTTGAAATTTTTGCTTGTCCAATTTTGTGCAAATAAAGCTAGGAAAGTTGGACAAAAGTTTTTTGTTCCTGTCTGAAAAATTTCGTGTAACTCCACAAACCAAATTTTCCAAACTTGACGCAGTCTTTTTTTGCCCATAAAAATTTTCACTAAATTCGAAAAAACTCTCTGCCAAATATTTGGAAAAAATTTCAGAAAAAATGGTTTACGTTTTTTTATTCATTTTCAGAAGATATCTGTAGTTTATCAAGGTAGATATCTGCAGCTTGCCTAAATGTTTCATATTCGAAGCATTTATCTCGTTATTTCATCACAACACGCACAAAAACAACATTATTTCAAAACGATGTTTTTCATTAATGTGGTCGGAACTTTCTATGCTTCTTGCACAGCAATCGCCAATCTTGTTTTCAAAAACTTTTTGTTGAAGTTATCGCAGCGACTAGTTTTGTTCAAAAATCAAAATTTTGCAAAGTAACCGGCTTCTATTGTTTAAAATTACTTATAGTGAAAAGATACAAACAACTTTTTATTTAGTAAGTTTTTAAACTAATTTTAAAGGAAACAAGGATAGCCAGTTGCTGCGCTAATAGCATAGAATGTTTCGACTATGCTAAACTTTGTAATCGATTTTTGTAACATTTTTGTTTTTTTTTTGCAATGAAGCCTGAAATTGAATATTCAACAAAACTCAAATTTCCTTGATTGAGGAACACTCTGGAGGAGGAATTTTGTTTGATTTCTTTTAATTAATTAAGACCATTTATCCGCTGAGGAAAGGACCAAACACAAGAGCTGTACAGCTCATCACGGCGAACCGCTGTTGTGCTCCTGTTTAAGAACTACATGCAATTTAAAAAAACTCTTAGTGGATATTTTTAGTCAATGAAAGCTGATAAAAGACTTGGTCAAAAATTTGGACTGTATTTGATTTTCAATTTTTACAAAATCGAACTATGACATCTGGTTTGATCATTGCGGCCAAAACATACAGTCGAAGCATGTTACCTGATAGCATGTATAGATGAGTGATGCCGTCGTATTTGTTCGGGTCCCATCCGATCAAAGGGTTCACCCATTCATGCGTGGGCCACACACTGGAGACCACAACTTGATTCCTGGTGTCCAAATTGACCAGTTGTGAAATGGACAAGGAGAAATTCACCTTCAGCAGCAGCGAATTCAAGAAGACATTATCAAGGCGGTCTGTTTATTTAATTTTGATCATTCTTATTATACGCCCAACAATTCATAGAGCCCTCTCTCGGTTAGGAGGAATTTATATTGGCGAAGAGCTTTTGATTTTTCGAAAGGTTTTTTGAAAAATATATCGAAATTATTACATTTTTTGAGCAGGCGAAATTACATTTAGAAAATTACATTCTATCATGATTCTTATCATCATTTATTAGTTGGTTTTTAAGACGAGTGTTGGTTTTTAGAAGTTTTCGAGCTTCTTTTTGAACTGTCTGAAATTTTCGCTTTCTGACGATATATGGCTTCAAATATCAAATAAGGTAGAAAATTGGTTTAACCAAGCGTTCTTGAAACGCGACCGGCTATCTGATTCAATTTTATTGATTTTATATGACTTCGTCGATCTGTGATTTTTAAGAGATAAAAACGCTGCAGTTTGTAATTAATTTCTGGTCAAGTCTTTTTGGATTCGCCACCTTAAGAATATCCGAATTGCGATTTACTGGTCGGTAATCGCGCCAAGTTTTACTCGTGGCCGTCACAATATTAGTCAGCTCGGCTTCTGTTTTGTCACATGAACAAATTCTTGAGAAATAAACTAAATGGGTAAATAAAAATAACGGTATCGAAACAGAATAATATTTAGACATTTTAAATTTAAAAATCAATTTTGGTTTCAATTTTCAAAAAGATATTAAATTTAACTGGATTATAATTTTTAAGGTTATGCATTTTTGGAGATTAAACGTCTTGATTGTAGCGAAGCAACAAAATTATGAAATGGTAAAAGTTTGGTGGGTAGCCTAACATAACAAGGCAAAATGTGGGTAATACTGAAAAAGGAAAAGTTGTAAATTGATTGAACGTAATTTTTTTTGGAAATTAATCTACTGAATAAAAGGGGAAGATAAGATTACAAATCCATTTGAATAACTTTTAATCGATTGATTTGGTTCATTTTGTTCAAAAATAAAACTATCGAGCTTTTTATTTAAAACTGTCGGTCAAATGTGTTCACTGAAATAACAGCGATAATTTGTTAAAGTTCAAATAGTTTGCCTATTTTTTTGTCTAATTGCCAATGTAAATTAAAATGCCCGCTTGATGTTTTTTTTGTTTCTTTTCATATCGCAGAATCAAGTTTTTTTAATTTTGCTATGAGGAATCGAAATTCATTTCATTGAATAAATATGGCTTGAAAGGTGTTCAGAATAGAATTTTTATGAGTTGCTTGTTCAATATAAGTTGAATGTACATTTTTAATCAAGAAATGAAGAGCTAGCTCACTTTTATGAAACTGAGAAAAATGTGTCACGATTCTTATAGAAATATAGTCTTCAATCGGCCAATGGAAACGAAACAGAAGAACAAGCCAAGCGTAAATAATATACCACCAATAATACCTTCCAACTTACCATTTAGTTTTCATTGTGCTTCAGAAACAAAGTAAGCTAGCCGGTCATGAGTAAGAAAAAAAACAGAAATTTAAGTACCATTTGAACCGTCTCGATGATTTAACGAAGTCGCCATTTTTTCAGAAAAAAACTCAATTCCAAAAAAACAAATGAGACTAAAAAACTAAACAAAACTGCAAATAAGTTTCGGCAGTGCCAAAATGATCGGTTCACTTCTGATTTTTTTGAGAAAAATGACTTCGAAATTAATCGCCAATTGTTTGGTGTGCCAGTAAAAATAAATAATAATGAATTTGAGTTTGCAGAAAACTTATTCTGATTTCAATAGCAGGTGAAAATGAAACAATTTATATTATTTTTATGGGGTCACTGTCGCTCATAGATTTATTGTTCTGTGATTTTAACCTTTCTTTGGCAATCGAGATCCGATAAAAGATTAGCACAACCTCCTTAATAAAATTTAATCAAGTGAAAAATGAATATCGCGTTAAGAGACATAAATTACAGCTGAATCAAATGAAAACAAGAACGTTTTTCTGATCAATTCTGAAACTAATTTGAATAAAAATTAAATGATTCTTTTTTAAAAACAGGAAGCGGGATGATCACGGATCAGTTTAAAGAAGGAAACAAATAAAATCAGTCTGATTAAAAAAACGCATGAATGAAATCAATGAAGATTTAATAAAACTGAAACGAAGAAAACCTCAAAACCTTTTTGAACTCTAAACTCTATGCTTGGAAAAGCAATTTCGTTAACTGTACACAACACAGCGAACAAATAAATCTGTTACGTTCAATTAGGCTCCCGCTGTTTTTATTCTATTTCATTGTAATTTAGACCCTAAAGAAAAACCCAGGAAACAAAAAGTTTACTCGACATTTAGGAAATCAGCCTACGGCAGGCGAATTATCGTGACTGCTTTCAAACATATTTTCAAGATACTTTTCAATTATTTTGAGGAGGAAGGCATTCTTTGTTCAACAGTTTAAGTAGCATCTTTTCAAAAAAAATGGCGCACTTAGACACGTCTTTGATTAATCCCGCGACAAAAATCGATAAGGGAAGGATTTTACAACGTTATTAGCTAGCATTAGTGAATCTAAGTGCAAATCCTAAAAAATCTTTTTCTTTATTTTCAAACAAGGAACGGATATTTTTCAGAGACTCAATTTGAAAGGTTTGTCTTTTGAATGGCTTTGTTTGACACAAAAACACACTTGTACAATGGCAATCATTGGCGAAACGATTTTTAAACAAAGGCGAATTCGACGGAAGAGAATATTAGTTGCTCTGACGTTTTTTTTTCACGACGCCGGAGTTCGAAACCCTCGCCAACTAAAGAATCCTTTTTAGAGCTATTTTAAGACGTTCGTTTACGAGCGAAAAATCTAAAATCACAATTCTATCAATTTAGGTTAGATTCATCACAACTTGTCAATCTTAAAACAAGAAGAATGTTCCCATAAAAACGAATCTCTTTGTTTCGTGAAAACAAGAAGAATGTTCGTATAAGAGCAAATCTCTGATTTTAACGACTGCTCTTTAGCATGACAGGAAAACATTGTGACTTTTAGCAAGGCCTTAACATTTTACCAGAAACTTCAATCAATAATTTTATCGGGGAAGGCGAAAACTGTCTGAAAAAACACCCCAAAAAGCAAAAAATTTCGCTCTTTTTTGAAATTCGTTAAAACTATCTTAAAATGAATTGAGAAGTGAATTGAGCCTTGGCATGATGCTGACGTATTGTATGCATCTTTTCCAATATTCTCTATAACCTATAAAATTTGATAAATGATTTTTTTTTTCAAATTGCTTTGTGTTATCATAATTTTGATAAATAAAGCGTATTGCGCGTAAAAAGTTGTGGCGTAGAGCTCGACAAAAAGCTTCTAACCACTTGCGTTCATCACAACCAAAATGCCAGTCTTACATTAAAAATTTATCAAATTCAAGAAGAAGAGTCTAAGCCGTCAAAACTGGGGTACAAGCTCATTGTCATATAGCCATAAAAACTATTTTCCATAAACGCACGCATAAAAACTGTATTTTGCATATTAAACGACGAAACATGAGGCAACCAAGACGATGTAACTGAAACTGAAACAACAATTCAAGCAGCTTGTAAAAATTTTCATGGCCACCAAGCGATACAAGCGGGTACGCACACCACGGACGGTTGCGCGGTAAAACATGGACAGGGCCTCGGAAAAGTAATGTCGAAAGAGATGGCAACATCCAAGACACAACCTCCCGATGGATGATAGGATCCAGCCAACCCAAAAATCTCTCGAAACACAACAGATGGCGAGAACCTTCCGAGTTCGATACACCTATGTGGCAGTCTGGCAGTTCGGGTTTTTGTCCGACAGATCAGAAAACCAGCATACCTGATCAGCGTGTTAATAAGAGCAGGAGATGTTGAGCTAAGCCCAGGTCCGATCAGCCTCTGCGGACAGTGCAACAAAAAGGTTACCTCGAATAGCATCCAATGCACATGGTGCACCAAATAGGCTCACGAAAAATGCAGTGGGCTGACAACAAAGGATATCAGGGACCTCAGCAAACAGGAAAGATAAGCTTATGAAAGCAATTTTTGTCGCGTTTCATCTGCCGGTGTAAACCTCTCACATCAGTCACGGGAGGATATGACAAATGGGGATGAAACCAAGGTCCCCGCGCCTGGGATCCTCCGATGACAACGGATACAGAGAGAGGACAATGCGGAAATCCCACCAGTGTCCACCTCGCACTGGGACTGCAGCAAGTTGAGACGAAGGTATATACTCCCGGGAATGACCCGACCCGGCGGCTTCCTGCAGCCAGGGCCGCCCAAAAAAGAGGACCAAAATCCAGCTGTGGCAACCTACCACAGGAGAAAAGTAGCAGGAAAGCTAGGGCAAAAACAGCTTGCGTCGACCCAACGCACGATCCTATTTCTTCTCACGGAAAAAATATTAGAAGAGGAAACAAAGAAAGCCTGAAGAGTTCACAGAGAAAATTGCAGACCAAGACGCAGGGCTCGGAAAGCAAAAGCTCACAAACCCACCAAGGACAAACTAAGCATAATAACATAGAACCTACAAGATGTTTCAGTGCGAGAGAAAACATAGCAAAGCAAAAGACCGCTGCACAAAAATGCTAAAAATGTCCTGGGATATTGTAATGGTGTCCAAAAATAGATCAGAAACACACGGCGTCATATAATTGGAGAAGAAAACAAGAAAATTGCTTTCATACATTCCAAAAATAGTGGCATCATGCGTAGCGGCTCGGCACTGCAACAATCAAAGGAAACCAAATGAAAAACTTCGCTGAGCGAGTGGTATCAATTAAGATGAACAAGCGCTTTCTTATCGCCGTGTATCAACCCTTTTGGTCGAACGGTCTGGAAAACATAGACAAGTACCGCCACGACTGGGAAAATGAAATTGCCAAAAGTACTTCGGAAGAAATACTTATAATAGGGGGAGATCATAATGCACACACGATAGAGGGTTGAATGAGACAGGTAAAACCGGTGTTTCGCGGAATGAGAACACCAACCAATCAAGTCGGAGATCTTGCTTTCAAGTGCCATATGCATGTTCTGCACTGGGTGAACTCAACTTTCAAAATAAAAAATAGCGGAACTTAGTTCAATCAAAGCTATAAATCATGGCATGAATTCGACGGGTTCATAATGACGTCAGCACATCGTCACAAGTTCATAGAAGACCAAGCAGTTATCCAAGACATGACTTTATCGGACTTTATCGAATTTTAAATCCGTAGCTTTAAAATTCGCCTGCAAAAGTTATCCCAAAAAAGACCAAACCCAAATCGCCTCGCTTAAATTGGGAAGCACTTAATCTACCGGGAAGATCCCGAGAGTTCAATGAAAAAACGGCTACGATTTGCGCACATACATCCGAGGATTGGCATTGGGAAAAATTTACTAAAGCACTGGTCCAAACAGTCACAGAAGTTTGTGGGACAACGCAATGTCAAGTAGTAAATCCATGGACAATAGGCCACCGGCACAAACTCGAGGTCTTTCATAGCACAATATCGACGTTGGCTTTCCTACGGAATAACTTATCACAGAGAGGGGAAAATGTCGAACCCAAGAAGGCAGATCTCAAAATAGCCAGAAAAGCAAAGGATAAGTGATTGAAACGGCTTGAGAAACATTGGTCAAAAATTTTCATTAACCAGTGCAAAGAGGCAGCCGGAAAAAAATGACCTGGGCACCGTGTACAAGACAGAGCAAAAA